TTATAGTGCTAAGCGCCGAGGTCGTGCAGCTGTAGAGCCGTCACAGCTCAGTGAAGAGCATTGAGCAAATTTGCTGCTCGTAGGACCATGATGGAGGAGGACAGTGATTTAAAACTTAAAAAATACATGTACGTTTTTGATCAGTTGCTGTCAGGAGAAAAGCGTGAATTGCTGGCCTTCTCGCGCATTTTTTTAAGCATGTCACTGCAATCTCACTAGAGTTCTACCAAAACCTACACAAACCGATTTTTGCGTCTGACATAGCTGTGACGTATTTGTTGTCACAAATCGGTGGTAAAATGTTGAGACGTCTACACAAATCCCGAGCCATCAAAAGGGTGAATGGCTAGCAGCGTACATGTACCCAAAGCCCTTGACGTGTTGATTTTGATATGCTAGCAGACACATCACAAATTCGACATATATTTCAGCACATTTCACTTTCAAATTTGTGTTTGTGATTGCATTTGTGTAGGTTTTGGAAGAATTCCAGTATTTTAAGCTTATTATTGCCTACAATAAGATTAAACGACACGATATAAGTATGCTCTGATATCCTATCATCATCAAGCACAAAGTACAAACGGCTTTACACCTGATTTTGCAGCGGCAATGCAAGATATGTATTAGACAATATGCACTTACTGTACAACGTACTGTAAGTTACCTTGACAAAAAACCGACCAGCAATCAATTGACTGTCATACCCAGAGGCACATACCGGTATACGGAATTTTAAGAGCAGAGCTTCATCTTAGAGACAATGGGTGCCTTCCATAAATAGCATAAGCACGTGTCATATTTGCAGCAGATAAGCCTGTCATACTTTACATGTATGCTGAGCTTAAGTATCAAAACGTCCACCACAAATACCATAAATGAGCATATCTCAAAGACCTCTGTCCTGTTTATATGTCGCTACCTAGATCTTACACAGACCGAACTCATTATATGGAAGCGTACCCGACACTTCGAATGGGGACAGTGAAGCTCTTCTTGTACGTCACACCGCAATTTACGCACGTCCGGGAAAGCATGGAGAGCGAAGACACGGAAGCAATGCTTGTTGTGGCGGAGGCCATCGACCGGGAGAGGCAGGAACTGCACGAAGTGCGCCGAGAGGTCTTCGGCCTCCTAATCGAGGAGGCCTGGCGCGCCGCCATGCGAAGCCGCCACTATTTGACCGGGTATTGCTTGGATTCCCCGAGCAACGCGTCCTGGATGGCTCTATACGAGAACGGGAGTGATCTAAACTTTCTTAACGCCACCAGTTTAACGAGGTCGCCTATTATTGTTCGTCTGGATGCTGTTCTTGACTTGGATGCTGACAGTACATGTACCAACAGGTCCTCGTTCTCTCAGCTCTTACAGCGTTTTTCACGGTTCTACAGCTTACCGGGGCCAAGAGTACGTGGACGGCCGCCAAAGTTCCGTAACCTCCAATAGGTGTTGGGCTTAGTATTAGTGTTCTACACTAGCTCGATGGAGCAAACGACGCTCTGTATGCTCTTTGGAGCTCCTCCCAGCACGCTAACGAGGACACTACGGAAGGCGGAGGAGTCGTTGAACAAGACGCTACATGGTTTCGCTCCTGCGCGCATATCCTGGCCATCACCAGGCCATCAAGTCACGCTGTCGAGGCTGGTAGAAGCCCGCGAACCCCTTCTTCACCACACGTTCGGGTTTATCGACGGTAAAAACCTACGAGTGCGTACATGTTTGCATTTACAAAGTGTATTAATTCAAATATCTTACCAATGCTATCAAAGTAGGTGCAGCAGCCATCCAACGCTGATCTACAGAACGCGATGTACAACGGGTGGCTGCATACAGTATTTGTTACGGGGACCATTTGTTTCGCGGCTGATGGCTGTATAATCTGGTGCAAGCACAACTGTCCCGGGTCCTGGAACGACTCGGACACCTCCATGGAATTTCGGTCGAAGCTCCTGGACCCGGTGTTGTGCCCAGATGCGAGAAAGAATGTCGTGTCCGATTCTGCCTTTCCGTGCTCTACAGCGATGGTCGGACGCATTTTAACGCCGCTGAAGGACTGCGACTTAGAGCGGATTCACCCTGCCCTGCGCAGTCAAGCACGCACCCTTCATAATGCTATAACTTCAGTGCGTCAAGCAGCCGAATGGGGCATGGGGAGTATACAGAAGGTATACTCCCGGCTTAACTTGCCGCTCCCCTACGATCCACAGCTTCGCGGTATGAGGCTGGACAATTTGTTTCGCCTTACCAACTACCGGGTGAGGACTGTCGGGATCTCGCAAATACGTACGACTTTCTCGGGTGTTATGGATGAAGGGGTAGCTTTGTAAGGCCGAATTGTTTAGTTTACTTTGAGCATGATTGGCATCTAGACTGAGATCTGCTTCTTAGTAAACCTTCTCAAGCTTTTGAGCTATGTTTCGTTTCGATACGCGACCATGCTAGTAATTTGACATCCAAAAGTATTTTTTTTAATGCATTGTAGAGATCCTACAGGTAAGAACGACGTCACTTCGAAGGTGTCGGACTTTTGCCGCCTTCTTTGGTTTCCGATGGCCCTTAGGGCTTCTTGTTGATGCTCGCGATGAGCAAGATGAGCTCCTGCGTGCGAGCTCTGGCTTCTTCCTTGTCACGGCGAGCTCGTTCGTCCATCTCGATCTTGTCTTGACGACGGCGCTCTTCAGCTTCCGTCTTGTCCGCGAGGCGACGTGCCTCCTGGGTTGCAGCATCGTCACGACGTCGTTGATCCTCTTCCGCACGGCGGATTTCCGCCTTCCGCTCGGTCTCTTCGCGAAGTAGCAAAATCGTTTCTAGCATACTCCCGCTCATTTTCGAGGCTGTTTCTAGCAAGTCCAGCTTGGATTTAAGCACCGTGGTCGCTTTAGCGGCTCGGATCCGCTTTGATTTCGCGAAACTTGCCTCCATGATCTCCTTGTCTCCTTCCATGGCGGACTTGGAGCCCGTTTCGTCGCGCAACGTGGTTAGATCCACTCCTC